ATTTTATACCTTTTTGTGCAACCACCTCCTCTTTTGTCAACTCTATCGTTCCTATAGATGTCGTAGTTGTCTATTACTAGCTTTGAGTCAGGTATATCAGTAGTAAGCCAGGTTTCAGTCACCATTATTAGTGTTGGCCGTTCTATGTATGCCAGGCAGCGAAGCGATGTTATTTTGTTGAGGAGAGATCTAGCATTCAGGAGCATAATCGTTAGTAAACCAGAGTTATTGGGAGAGAGGTTAACATGGTTACTTGTTACTATTCCTACGTTATGTTTGGAGGGGCTCTGAGGTGAGACAGAGTCAGTGTGTGTACCATTTCCTGGATGAATTGTGCAGCGAGTGGAGCTATTGTTTGCTGCATCCGAAAATAATCATGTTGCATGTTTTGACTTTTAGCATCCATAGGTGGGTATCTGCGTTCATTTACTGGTGACATATAGTTTGCTTGACCTAGGTACCCTGTGTTAAGATTACTTTGGTAGTTGTACCTCATGGGTCTTTCATAGTCGTATGCATATTGGCTCACATCACATGTGTGAGTGAAGTTATTGAGAGGGTCAAGTGTCGATCTATACTCATTATGTTGCTGAGGTTCAACATAGATAGTGTGAGAGTTTGGACAAGAATATGCATTAATATGGTGCCTATATGAGCCCCGTTTAGTGCTCCTTAAGTTTGCATGTGACAATTTAAACTTCATTAGCTGTCTCTATTTACGTTTCACTTCTTGAATTTTAAGGCAACACAACCTACACTAATTATATCTACGATCATAGTGGTTACGTGTTATGAACCACACAGAGCGACTACTGGGTGAAGGGACCAGCTCCATTCACAGTTGCGACATGGTCTGAGCACGCCGGAAACTTCAAGTGCGGCAACACTAATTTTGAAGTCAGCCATTGCTGAGATAGTTGAATGACTGGACGAACTATGCAGAAATTTCTTGAGGACCAAGAACTCTTAACTCACAGCCATGAGGTGAGCACAAACAAATCAAATTGGTACTCACTAGCTCGTAAAAATGAAATTGGATGTCCAGGAAGCCTATTTAACTTAAAATATTTTAAGTATATCTCTATGCTGTTGACACTGCATAACTGTTTAGAGTTGAGACCTATGTACTTTATATTTGACCACTATATTTTACTAAGGATGCAAATGTAATTTCTTTAAGATTCGCATAACCATCTTCATTAGATTATAGGTTTCCAGGCCGTAGGTGTTACCAACTTCCTGGAATAATTTGAGCGCCGAGTCAGATTGATTCATTATAAATTATTTAAATTAATCCCAGCGTGTTAAGAAAATCAAAACATATATTTGTAATGACTAGTCATTACAAATATTTGTGATGACTGCATACATATTTTGTATTGGTAAAAATATCCATGAACTAATGACCTTCAAACAAACTGACTTTAATGTATGTTAAATTTTTGACTATATATTTTGATGAATAATAAAAATCCGAATAAATCTGCTGAAGAAGCTGTGGCTTACACAGAGAAACGTTCAGAAAAATCTTGTTTTGATTTTCTTAACACGCTGGGATTAATTTAAATAATTTATAATGCATCTTCATTAGACATTGCTGAGATTGTGGATTAATTTCTAAGTTATATATTCGCAATATTTCCTATAAAGTAAACGTATCTACCCTTTACTCTTATGGACTGACAAATACATCTAATAATTCTTTCATATATAATGTAAGGGAACTAATAGTTGGAGCACCTAAGAGGGTGAGACAAGGGAGAATGGGAAGTATTAAAACGACGAGTTTAAGTACATACACACTAATAGTGCGTCAGTATTAAGGAAATAAGAGATTCAGATTGATTAGAATTAGCTTGTAAAAATGATTCTGGATACGCTAGGTGGTAAAAGGCACGCTGCATATTGGATACACTAAAAAAGATATTGTAGTCACAAGGGCTTCAGCCAGAGAAGGCAAAAACCCAGGGACATCAACCCCTTCCCGCATACCAATCCTAAAGACTCGGGTAGGTCTCGTCTGTCCTGATACTACGCCTGCATTGCCACAGTCTAGTACTGAAACGGCCCAGGAAATACCAGGGGGACAGGATATTACCCCTGCATCAACTGAAAGCAAGCGTGTGAAACACAGCAAACCTAAAAGGAAACGCTCAAGACGTCATAAGACCTCGAAAGCGTCATCAAGTAAGGGAGACGAATGCTAGGCATGCAGTATCATAGTTTCTAAGGCTGACTCAGCGTTTGAATGCAATTTTTGTAAAAGGTGGGTGCACTGCAGTTATGATAAAGAGGGGCCGAAAGCATACTACGAGAGTAAGATGAATTCAATTCCCATCCTTAAATCAAGTCAACTTGTCCCGGATCAGCCTAGCATTGTTGCAACACAATTATCCATGCCTAACGTGTCTATCCCCCCTTGTTTAATGATCTGTGTGTGTTTCTACATCAACCCGTTTAGTCAGACAGTTGAACTCATGACCCAATCAGAGTATTTTTGTGAACTCTTATTTTGGTGACCCATGTATTACTTTGTACTTTCTGTCGAGTTTATCTTATTGATTGATTGGTTAAGTAGCCAATTAAATTCTATCTTTGTGCCTATGCTCTGTCTACCTCTTACTTGGGTTCATTCTTCTACTGACTGCTAACCTAAACGGTCGTGTGTGATTCCGGCTAGTTCGCAATTTTGGCTTTAACGTTATTCCGCTCTGACAGCCGTACCTTGCTTTCTGTTAAGCGTTGTGCTTTGTACTCTTGAGACCGTTAAGGTTTGTTGTATATATATTTATTGATTTGTTAATTAATAGTACCGTAGAAACAGTGACCGGCTTCTTGTTTGTTCTGGACCGGGATAGCCCTTATCTACGCGTGACTTAATTTCAAGCGATATTGCGCTTACTACGAGTTTATGAGAAATAACCCGTGCCCCTGGTTTTATAATATCTCTCCACTTTGTCACCCTGGCAAAGTGCCGCAGAGCGTGTCTTCGGATAGCAGAAACATTAAGTCGCTCTTGCATCCCAACAAAGTCTTATGTAGCTCCCAACCTGCTAACAACACACTGCCAAAACTTGGCACAGACATTGAGAAGGACACTCCAGTCCTACTGACTGAAAATGCTAATTTTCATAAGGTGAAGATTGAAAAGGTTGGACCCACAAAATCAAGGGAAGAGAGAATTAGAAAAGTGCCACTTGCATCCACAAGCAAGCTCGGCAACACAACAAAGGCTGGCCTAAACGCGATGAAGCCTAAAGTTGCTGATGCTGCAAAGGAATACAAGAAGCCAAAGGCCAAACCTAAGTCTGAGGTTAATCGGTTTAATTCTCTTATCTTCTTTAACGTACATGAGAGCAAGGACAGCTTGCTTGAACAGCGGGCCCTGTTTGATCAGGAACAGTGGTCCAACCTGTGCAACAAATTAGGTCTGAACACTAGTTCAGTGAAATTGTGCAGGCTGTACAGGGGTGTCCACACGCCTCAGGGTAAGCCACCCCCATTACGGGTTACACTGGACTCTACCGAAGAGCCCGAAAAGGTACTATTGATGGCTCAGATACTAGCCATCGACAGAAGTTCGAGCATAAGGGTGAGACAAGACAGACCATGGGCTGTCAGACAAATGGCGAAGAAGTCACCGGAACTGATGCCTTCTACCTCTATGGTGGTACACGGTGTTCCGGAGCTGGAAACGGGCACTGCTTGTGAAAAACACATGCATGACGTACAGCAATGGAGATGGCTGTCATCTCAGATGGCCCTGGGCGCTTCTGGAGCCATCTCCATTTCCCGACTACCTCGCCCAGCTCATCTCACACTGATTAGCTCCCCAAAGCTGCTAAGTGTCACATTCAACTCCTCAGAGCAGTTGGCCATAGCACTTCAACGGCGGTATGAGATCAAGGGGAAAATGGGAGGACACATCCGATGCTGCGAAAGCAGACCTCGAACCATAAGGAGGCAGCAAACTGAGGCTTTAATACGTCCCCAGGCATTAGTGACACTAGAGCGATGCAGTTCTGAGAATAACAGTCTGTGTCACCCAAGTGTCTTGCCTAAATCCGGGTGCGCTCCCACTTCCTTTCCCTGCGGGTTTGCCGTCCCTGGAATTCCTTACCGGCAGATGTAGCTATGTCACCGTCCGTGGATGCTTTTAAGCGAAGGCTGGACAACCATGCAGCGACACAAAGACTGCATCCAAATGGCCTATCCCCTTAAAATCGCATACACCATTCAAGGGTAGACAATTTAACTTGTCGTTTTACTTCTTTACATTCTCTTCCGTCTTACTCTTCTGACAGCTTTAACTACACCTATTATTATTATCATTATAACCGGTATATATATATGTATATATATATATTCCGGTTGACTGACTGTTGTTGCGTTTTCTTATTCTTTTTCTGTCTGTTAGTCTGAATACCTTTACTAATTATATCTATTATTATTATCTCTTTTCCATTGACGACGATACCGAAAGACTAACTGGTGAAAGGATCAACTTCATTCACAGTAGTAACAGTCTTAACACACCTCATACTGCAAACCACATATAATTAATCCCTGCACTACTCATTTTGGAGCCAACCAAAGCTACGCCAGTCGAGTGGCGGGATGAGCTACGCAGACGTTTATCAAAGATCAGGAACCTCTACCTCACAATCAAGAGGCGGGCACAAGGAAATCAAATTGGTTTATACTAGCTCGTAAAAACGATATTGGATATTGGATTGTATATTGAAGGCGGTATTTTGACTTTGTTACTTGCGTTTCCGCGTAGTTGTATCACAGAAGACATGAATCTATTCACTTACTTCAGAAACATCTCTGTCATAATCACCATTTCACTTTTTATTTGCAGCGTTTCCGCCTGTCGAATAAATGAAGGGAAAAATACAGAAATGATAACAAAACTAGAGGGTAATTAGTAGCTGAAGTTTACTACAGGTTTCAATACAGAGAAAGGGTTTGTAAAATCCCCGCGTGTCAAAAAAGCCATGCAGAATGTGGATCGTGGTTGTTTTGTTGAGACTAACCCTTATAAAATTTGTTCAATGTCAACGAAATCTGATGCCATAATTCTTCCCCCATTTGTCGTAAGTTCAGTAGATTTTATTACTGAGAATCATTGTGAGGCACAGATTTCAGTATGGCACGTTGGTTTATGCCATGTGTCGATCCCTAGTGATTTAGTTTTAATAAAAATAATGGACATGTGCAGTTTAAAAAGCAGATAAAAGTTAACAAACAGAAGTTGAGTTCATAATTAAGGGTCATAAATCGGATTGACGAAACAAAGGTTGGGAAAGATAACTGCCTGGAAATGAACCTCTTCCTCAGAAAAATTCGTTAAACATTCATGAGTGGTAAGTGGTATGCACTGCTAGTGCTTGGGCAGTTTATACAAGTTCATCAATATTTATTGGAGACTGCATACTTTACTTAGTGATAACGGATGCTTATCGTACACGTGTCTGATGGCTTTCTGGTGACTGATATGTTTATTCAAACATGTGTACACCTGAAACAGTCCAGAGTTTTCGATTTCACTGCAGTGTTTGTTGAATTCTTTGATATTCGATCTGAAATATACTTTGCGTTCACTTCATGTAAATTTGACTTCAATGAGTAACTAAAGTGTGAATTTCATGAGAATAAACAGGTAGAGCATTGTGGCTATGAATTGTGAATTGAATTATGTTGGTGAGTTTAAACTTTGCGTTCGATGATATTATTGGATGGGTGTGTCATGTATATTTTACAATGGATTGTTTTCAATAAAAGCTATGTATAATGTTTCCTTATTAACAGCTAACAGAAAGCTGTTCAGTCAAATTGTTCCAGACTCCACAGGTGCACTTCTGTGTTTCTTTAATTCGATGCGCACGCTAAATATTTACCCTTTCATTTTCTGTGATCCAGGAGGCAACTATTCTGGAAGCACTGCATGACTACATCAAAGACGGTTCACACTCTTTAATTATGGAGCGGGGTAGTGGATACCTCTCAGCTTGTGTAACGTTTATGGTGAGTCTATTGTAGTGAAGTGCAATTTTAATTATAGTGTTTCACATGGTTCACATTACCAGAAAGTCTTGGAGCATAGTTTCATGAATATCTAAGCTAACCAGAATATTGCCATTCGAAGCTTGGAGTTAGTTGAGGTTCGTTGACAACAACAATATTTTCATCTGCAGATTCATTAAGGATGGCGTTGAATGTTTCAATATCATAATACAATGAATTTACATTCATGAACAGAATGCAAAATGACCAGCGTATTTCCATCCATTGAGTTTACAGAATTATGGACCTTATCTCACTCTGCTTATCTTATTAACATAGTGAAGTAAAAGAATTCAGCTTATATTAACTTGGATGTCTTGATTAGCTGAAGTGAATTTTTAAAGTGAAGCTTTACGCAAAAGTGCTGCGGTTTGAGAATCAAAGATACAGCTAGGAGACATGTAAAGAAGCCATAATGAATAGATGCATACAATAGGTAAATAATAATGAGACTCGAATAGATCTAGGAGACTACGAATTTGAATCTATTTGCATCATTGATAACGGCTTTGAGTCGTGTCACGAACAGTCTCCAGTCTTTGGTTCTTAACATCTTGATTATCCCAGTCAGGTGGTCTTCACCATGCAACAACACCGGCTCAATGTAGTTACCAGTTACTTCACAGTTTGATAATATGTTTTGATTTAACCATCTCTAATCCCTTCCCAACATAATTCTATATCAGCTAATATTGCCTGACAAAGAAGTCGACGGTTCAACATGGATAATACGTGTCCCAGTCACTTTAGGTAATATAACATGCACTTCCTATCCTTGAACTAGTAGCCAGTTCAGTGTAGTCCTGCAGCATCACCTACAATTTGAATAGGGCAAATCTTGTGTCAAACTTGCTGAGATATCTGCTCAAGGTATTCAAAAGACGCTGGATTTTGTCAGCATCTTTGCTTAGAAGAGCTACATCATCTGCATATTCTCAATCGATGAGACTGTTTTATGGTGAAATGTCATTTGGTCTACATGTGATTCGGTTTCCCTTAATCCAGCTCAATTCAGTTGGAGTTTTATGTCCGGAGCAACCTTAGTCTCTCCAGGATGATTCGGTTTAATAGTTTGTTTGGAGCAATGTTATAATTACTTGCTTTAGAAGTATTTTACAATGACCGAATCACAGGAAATCAACCAGTAACACACAGAGGGATGAATTTAGGAATTTATATTTGGCGGAATTATTAGTAATTCATATAATAATATACTAACAAACAACAGTAATTATTTAAACAATACAGAGATAGAAATTGTCAATCACCAATTCCGCAATATGTCAAAGGTCCCTTTGCGTATTGATAATGATGTCTTAGTTTGCTTGATAGTCTCTGGGATCTTCTAACCGATTCTGCGATATTATTTTCACCAGTATCCTCTGGACGTATTTCTGAATTATCTACAAAATCAGGATTAGTAGCGGAATCATTAAAATTGTAATCGGAACTACCTACTTCATTTATTTTCAGTTGATCCAGGTGTTTGTTGTGAACTGAATTATCTTCGATGTCTAATATCTTCACTATTCGATTTCCCATTCTTTTCTAGTATGATTCCAACAGAAGGTCTGTAGTCATTCCCTCTGTAATAATGCACATCAGAAGTCGTGGACATCAGATGCGTTCTGAGAATTCGAGATTTGAATAGCTTAGCAGAATTTCATGGGTACTTGTATGCTCCTCATCGTGATATTGAGGTTGGAAGTTATCTACAAGCAATCAGGAGTGTGATTCTTCTGAAGTTGTAGAAATTCACCACTCTGTGGTAGTTTCAAAGGGTGTTCCTACTTCATTCAACCAGTAGGCATTCACTCTTCCCTTCAAACGCTATGCAAATGTGGCGTGAGCATATACACTAGGTCTTTGAGTGCGTTTTCAGTGATCCTCATCGCTGGCGTTAGCGACTTCTGTTTACTTCGGAGGACCGGTGTTCACTGGGAGTTCTGATGCTGTTGGTGGTATTTTGGGTAAGTTTCGAGTGGTGGTTGATTCAAGCGTTTTGAAGACTTCAGCCTAGAGTTTTCTTTTCTCCTCTTTGGTCATTAGGTTCCATTCACCACCTGTATTAATCTCTTTCCAGATAGCTAACTAGTTGTTTTACTTTCCATACAATGGACCATCAGGTTGATATTGATTTGCTTAGTATATATCAAAGTGATCTACACACTCATGTCTCTTCTTTTGTTTTCCTACCTCTCAAAGTCTGGGATTAGTGGTAGGACAGAATCCACTCTGCCTGATAATAAGTTAGCGGAAGCGGCTTTGGGGAATTTCGCTAAGTGGCTACAATACACTAAAAAGGTCTTCACATTGGGGACACAAATTATATTCAGATCAGTTAGTGATCACAAACCTTGGTCATCAAATTCAAAGTATGATGCTATTTATTTGCATGTACTGGATAGAAGTATCATATTTCCAGTAAGTCTACTTATTCAAATGTCATATTTATTTGCGATTTTAATGAGCAATGGTAGAATAATAGTAAATCAGCTGGACAGAGGACGCAGATGACAAGAATCAGGAGTTCATACTGCTCGTGAATATTTGTATTGTATATTTACATGAAATAAAAACAAATGACAGTGAATATTTGCACAGTACAGTTATGCAAACAGTCAGTCACTCATCACACTTACACTTTGTAGATACAAACTGTCATTATTCAGGTAGTGCCACTTTTATTTCTGTGAGAAACTAATACAGTAGAATGAAGATATTGCAGGTGAGAATGAACCACTTGTCTGATTTACGGAATGATGATGTCCAATAGTCTGCCATGTATATCTCAACTTAGTGCTCTCCATAAATGATTTTACTGTTACGTGTTCCGTTATCCTTGACTGGTTTCGATTAGACACAAGAGTAACTTTAATGCAGCTAGGTCTCGTAACATCCACTAATTTGTATATTCTCCCATTTTGCATTTCATGACGATATTGAGTATTTTGTACAGGGGTTGTGACATAATTGACAAACACTTCCAAATATTCAGAAATCTTAGGTAATTACCAACGAAATAGTGGAAGTGATGGCTTGAAATTAATTCGGGTGACAATTGTTGGATATGTGCTTTGGTGGCACAGCGGTTAGGACTCTATCCGACCATGCACATGGTCCGAGTTCGATCCGCAGCCGACGCACACCTCATATCAATTGGTCGGCCTGCAAAATTTGGGCTACCAATATCACATACTGATAATTCCATACTTGCACCTATAATACGGTGTGGAATCAAGTTATGATGAGAAATCAGAAATGTTAGGTTAAGTGTCCACTTGACAAGTGTGATGAAGGTGAGAATACAATCAACTGAATAGTAAAGTTGGTAAAAGGAGTACATAGGAGTAATAACTGTGAAATGCGAAGTGAAACTAGAGGCGAACAAGTAGAAAGGAAATTGAAACCACGGTATGATGAGGAAGTTGAAGAAAGCTTCTCTGTTAACAGGGTTTGTAGATGAACTGACGAATTGCTAGAGCCTACATCATCCACAAGTCTTGAAAGTTAACACCCCTTTCATAGTCTGGATGTGCAGTATAAACGAATTCAAGGGAGGAGAACATTCAATTTGCTTGACCTGGATTCATGAAATGTTCGAGAAATGTATAAGCATCTTTTATTGAATATGAATATGACTTCATCAGTAGACGATACCTTATTCACTGAATAGTCTTTTATCTGTTTCACGAGATACATTCGTGGGAAATCCCATATTATTTATTTTGCATCAGTCATTCAAGATTCCCATATAATAAAATAATAATCACTTTTTATTGTGTGATTCATTTGCTTCGGATAACTTAGGTGAAACAAAAACTAAAAGTAGGAGGTCGTATAGTTTATTTGGAAGAATTTGGTGAGGGAGAACAGAAATTGTTTGTGATGGATCGCAAAAATGATGTAATGTTTTTACGGAAACCTCTGATGAGTTTCCAAAGTTTTGTGCCACGTAGGATTCAGCCTACAGAAGAAAGTACAGTAGAACCTGGGTAAGATTTTTTGTCTATATGAAATCGTGGGCTTATTTCAAATCACTATTAGTACTGAATTCCTAGTTAAGAGTTGTAGACTATTAGGTTAATTGTATGTCGATTCATTAAATTGAAGAATGTGCATCATGATTAATGCAAGTATTTGTGCCTGGCTGAAATGTAGAAGATGTGATTGTATATGCAAGAAAAGGAATATTTCTTGAATGCGAATGTGTAAGATAAAGAGAAATCTCGCTGTAATATAATGAAGACATCACAAAACAATGCACACCATGTCTTCGAAAACAGTCAGTCTTTTGAATACATTTGTATGGCGTTAATGAAGAATGGATTATATGTGAACAATATGAGGCATTTCGGGGACTCCTTTTTGGACGAATCTGACTAGACATATCCATTTGGTCATGTTTTTATGTATGTGTATTCGCGTATACATGTGCATTGATTTACGGTATGATATATTACCTGTGTTTCTCCAGCTGCTTGGTTTCAAAGACGATGAATTAAGCAAATACCTACTTATTTTTCATTTGGGCCCTCGTCTATTGACGAGGTACACACCAAAATATGTAGCCTTTCTTGTGGCAATACATGATTTTGAATGGATCTCATGCTAATGAATGTGTTGACAATCATTCAATTCACCTGTATCATCAACAGGTCAGACAGCATATTTACTGACGAAGAAAGATTGTTTAGAAATAATCATGAAGTAGTAGTAGTCGTTTCACTAAAATCATGAGAGTAACTCCTCTATTAGAGCAGATCTTGTATTGTGTGTTTACAATAAATAGAAACAAACAACAGTGAAGATATACACACAATACGGTGACAGAAAGTGTTAATCATCACAAATGTCTTTCTTGAACATCTCATTTGTTTGAGATTCCCTCATTTTCATGCAATCAATGTTGATAATGTTATCATTGATTCTGCCTTATTCAATGCGTCTTGAAATAAACATGACGGGTTTTATAACTGCTGCTAGATGAAAGTGGTTCAGTGGAATAGGATTAGTTTGCATGCAGATAGATCCCTGATCCTCATAGTGTCTCCTTTGGATGCTTTAATTGTATTCGCACACATTTGCCTTCATGTTGAATTAAATGAAGAACTGTTATGATTTTATACTTGTTTCTCTTTGATTTCCGCAATGTTATTCATTTCACACCGAGAATATGACATCATTCTCACTCATCTTTCTTTTTTTATTGTTGTTGTTGTTACTGTTTCTGTTACTATTATTATTTGTTTACAGCGAAGCTAGGTAAGATAATTCTCCCTCCTTGTGCAATAGTGTGTGCTTTGTTTCATGCAAGTTGAAGCAGTAGAGTATTTAATTTCTTGTTAAACGTTTAGGTTATTTGAATTCTCTCTTATTCAATATGACAAGGATTGAGCATCATGACCTATGCACGTATTAACGAAATAAAGTTTAAACGTAGAATATGTCATGCTATGTAAGAAGCACCTGTTTGTCGAATATGCTCAAGACAGACAGATAAGCATTGCGGTATGCTACACGAATTCACAAATTCCACATTTCCTCAAAAAGGCAAAACCAGTTACTGCCTTTACTACATTTGCATTGTGTTAAATGAAGTACGGATTATTTCTGAAAATTGTGATGAATGTGAACAACCATTTTTTCAAATAACCTGATTACACACATCTATTCGGCCATTTCCATTTATACGAAATGGGAAAATAAATGGAAGGTATTTCGCCTACAGCAAAAGCTGTTGACAGCCATACAAGAATATTCAGAACAGGCTGATACAACCAGTTACGTTACTTTAACCATCTTTATATTCCCGCGAACAACTAATCAATTGTCCTACATGATTCGAAGCAGAATCCGTTTCCTTGATAAAACTAACCAAAGCCTGAGGCGCATCTTCCACACCTCTGTCGATTCGACGTGGTAATGAAATTCATTTTTAATTGAGTATAAGATGTCAGTCTCACTTATGATTGTTCTTACTCTTATTTGTTAACAGCATAATCAGGTAAGATTTTCCTTTATATTCAATAGCATACTTCTCTATTCACTTCAAGTCAGCACAGGATTTGATTTTTGGTGGAAAATCTCAATCACCACAATACTCTGAAACATCTCATGAATTCGCTTGCATCCATCACCGGGATTTTTCTCTTCATGAAATTGATCCTGATAATTTGACTACTCATTCATCCTTACACCTAATCATCAGGCACACCAAGTATTAAGCAACCACCAGATGAGAAATGTTCGGTTAATTAGGTAGGATTGGTTTCGAGGGTGGACAGATAGATCTCTTATCCTCAAAGTCTGCAGTAGTTAACTTGCTTAGTATGAGGAAATATGTGTCACCTTATCCAAACAAATGAAGATTTATTTCAAGTTTCTGTACTTGCTTGTCTTTGATTTCTGCAGTGTTACGCATTTCACGAAAAGAGTACGACATCAGTCTCCATTTATCATTTTTATTGTTGTTACTGTTTCTTGTTTACAGCGAACCTGAGTAAGACTTTTCTTCGTGTTCAATCGTTTGCCTTTTTGTCCACTTCTAAGCGGTTTCGTGCTTTATTTCTAGTTAGGAGTTAGACATCTTTAGTTTAAGTGTAATTTCACTGATTAAACATGGAGTGAACATCATCACTGATGTACGTATGCATTTATGATAAATTGAAATGTAGGATATGTAATTGTTTGTAGAAAAAGAAGAAGTATTTTTTGAATATGTGTGTGGTAAGGAGAAATTCTACTGTAATATAACGGAGAGATGACAACTGATTGATCCACCCTATGTATTCAGGAATTGTGAAGAAATGCTCCCTTCACTATATTGGGATAGAGCTGATGGAGGCCGGATGACAACTGATAATTGTGACTCATTTGTGCAAGCCGCCTCTTTTGAACAGTCTGACAACAAACATCTCCTTGTGAATTCAATTTATATGAAGAGTCAAATAAAATTGACAACATCACCGAGGAAATTAAGCGTGAGGAGGATGAAAATTTACGCCTCTTCGATAAGTAATACATTCGTGAAAGCAGAGTCAATATAGGCTGAATGCAAAAAGAAAGTGATTTCACAAGTACACGACAGGTGTTCTTTCACGAATATCCATCGCCATATCAGCTGCTGTATCAAGGGTTTATTATTAACATTTTTCAATAATTTGGCTTTTATTTTGACAATGAAATTCATGTGAAACCAGGAGTATGGATGGCATGAATCTCACTTATCGGTTTTGTCACTGTTATTCGTTTACAGCGACTTTTATTTCGAATACATGGAGTACACATCAACAGGAGTAAAATATATTCCAAACAGTAAAGTTCTCTTATTCCTTTGTCTTTCCATCATCTTATTCATCTCATTATTTTGACCATCACATTTATTATTCATTGAATAGTGTTCTTACTTCTTACACACCATCCAAGTGTACATTTGTACTATGTGTCACCCCGCTTTACTCAGTGAACTACACAACATCAACTTATTTCCAAAACATTTTGGCAGGCTAGACTGACTTCATTAATATACAACATCTTTTGTACATCACTCTTCACTTCAGTGTATATTGGAAATAGTTTTGTTGTGTTGAGATGACGAATGTGTTTAAACAGCGATATTATCTGTGGTGTATTTGTGTTACTGCAGGTCAGTAAACTAGGCGAGATTGTCTCAATAAATTGCTAGTTGTATTAATTATCCTCAGCAAAGAACACAGTGTGATGTGTGAATTTATCTCTTGAGGAAATCTTATGGTTTGCATTTCTGTCTGATGAATCAGTTTCTACGATCATTCGCAGGATATCCGTAATTCGGAGATATTAGGCTGACAGTGATTGAATTACAAAAGATAGAGGTAATGCTCGCATTACTTTGATTTCCACTGAAGTTAAAATGATGTGATTCCGCCCCGAAACTACATCTAATTCCAATAATAATAATAATAATAATAATAATAATAATAACAGCAATACTGTCACTCCCTCTACTAATTATACTTTCACTAATATTTCTACTACAACAACTTCCACTAGTGTTGTTTCTTCTTGTACTTCTGCTAATACCACTAAGACTATCAGTGCTAATATTACGGCTACCATTGTTTCTAATAAAACAACTGATACTACTAATCACAATAGTAGTAATGTATGTTATATCGAATTTCATGCTCACAAGTAAAATGTAACAGCCAGTCAAGTAGAAATGCACACAGACATACACATTTGTCGACATACTTCTCCTCAAACTGATTACTCTCTTCTTCTCTCGAATAACTCCGTTGTCATTCAAGTGTTGGTTTGTAGGGATTTGGTTGATTGGTTACAGGATTTCATCATGAGCTGACATTAGTTAGAGAACCATTGGAAAACCTGAAGGGAGTACTGGACAGCTGTTTTTGTCAGCCTAGTTTGGGACTCTTCATCAGTACGCACCCACCGGGATTCCAATTGGCAGAAGTTAGAATTCATGGGCCATTGGATCGGGTCCCAGTGGCCTAATGGTATACGAGCTCGCCTTGTAACCAGAAGGTCCTGGGTTCGAATCCTGGTGGGTGCGTACTGCTGAAGAGTCCCAAACTAGGCTGACGAAACAGCTGTCCAGTACTCCCTTCAGGTTTTCCAATGGTTCTCTATCTAATGTCAGCTCATGATGAAATCCTGTAACTCCGTTGTCACTTTATTATTCGAGAAATTTACGCCATCAGTTTATTCTGAGATTACGTGTGAGCATTATGGTTAATCTCTTCAATTCTTCATATCATGTATCTTTGATTGAAAAAATGCCTAAATTTATCAATACGTCAGTTAGCCGCTTTGAATTATTTATATATCACTGGAATCATTATTATTATTATTATTATCCGTGTATTGTATATATGCGGGGTATTTTCTTGGTTAACTGTGGAATGGTGAATCGGATCTTTGAGATGAAAGTGAAAACACAGACTTGTCAAAGTGCACCAACACACACACACACACATACACAAAAGCAAGATGACATGGCAGTTATTTCGATACGTTGAAGTGAGTGAGTTATGTGGAATGTGTTGTTGATTTTACGGTTTCATTTTTCGATAAATTTAAATATTTTCTGTTCTAATAATTGGGTTATTCGTTCTCTGTGTGTGTATGTGTGTGGTTGGTAACACACGTTCGTCTTCTTTATGTGGTTTATAAGGACTTCACATTCAGATACATCATGTCTTACCACTAAACCTTTTTCATAACTGTCAATTTTTTCTGCATTTCATCAAGCACCAGACTGTTATATGAAAATGTCTGAAAAGAACCCTTTTCTGCATCTTTCAAATTCATTAAAATTCTCCTTATTTATTAAATGCCATAGGAATATTGATTATTTGGATTTCAATAGTCACTACTTGACATGGCAGTTATTTGCGGATTTTCCATGTATTCAGAAGTAATAAATACTTTTTCAGTGTGTATACGCGACAACTTACCATTCTGCTTATGAATTTTTACTGGTTACATTCTGTGAAGTTTCATTGAAATGCAGTGTCGTTATTCGACTCTCCTAAACAATATACAACAAAATCAGGACAGTATCAGTTGTGTTATTGTTATGAACTAAGTCATCAATTTGTTATGGACCTGTCTGTGGCTAATTGATTTGATCTCTGATGATTGCTGATATGACTGAGTGGACTGATGCCTGAGTACTGATGTAATGGACAAACAACTCAAGTGATATGCGAACTAAGCCTATTCGTCCGTGTCACCTTGCATTTCAATGAGCCACGTAAGTTTCAAAAGACGAAGACTGGTCTGTGACTGATAGGATACGATTTTGTTGGGAAAAACACGTTGTTTCTGTACATGTTCTAACCAGATACATTGAAGTCGGCCCAGGACAGTGGAAACAGATTGATCCAATTGATAAGCGATTTGGCTAAGGTAGGTGAGAAATAGAAAATATTCTGATTGGCTGGTAATTTAACGAAGACCAAGATCTGAAAAGGATGATGAAATTTTACAGTCATCCGATCACACGAAGAATCACATGATCACTCACTCACAAGTTGACTACTACTTTAAGCTGATTCCTGTCAGTTATGCAGCGTTTTCGACGCTTGGGTAGACTACTTGGCGATCGCCTATGAAATATGAAATAGTAGAAAGCTCTGGTGGTAACAAATTGTTATTTGACACTTGAACTGGGATTGATATCACTTAGAGAAACATTGAAAGCCATCAGAGAGTACTGGATGGCTGTTTCATCCCAGTTTGAGATTAACCGGCAGTATACACCCACAACGGTAACAGTCCAGAGACTTCTGTTTACAATGCAATGTCGTAGACCATTCAGCTACTGAGGCTTGTCTCATTGGTCTATGAATTCTATCTAGTGGTTGCACTGAAAATCACAAACTGGTAGAAGTCAGGGTACCAGACTAGGACGAACATTTGTCCAGTACTCCCTGGGGTACTTCGGTGGTTAACTCACTGACATCCATCCATCCATGATCAGACTTGAAATGAATCAAATCACAACAGAGCATCTCTTGTAAAATGAAGCAGTCAGAAAAATAAAATAATCACTTAGTTGGTAACTTCCAGAAGGCTTTGGGGTGGGGGGAGGGAGAGAGAAATTATCCACGTTTTACACACATGTAAGGATAGTCAAGTTGAGGAAATAGGTTGCACGAATCTCTCCTCAGCACGTGAGTTTTGCTTCTTCAAGTGGATTCCACTTGACTCAGCTGTGTGTAAAAGACTAAATCATGAAAGGAGACTAATATTAGTCGGAGTGCTGTAATTAACTTGAAAGCCTTTATTAACGTCAAATTTATGCTCGCTATCTAAGTCCCAAAATTTTGTGCTTAAACAAAGTTGTTTGTGAGTGGATCTTGTTTTTCCCTCGCTTATCCATGTAGGATTATGTTAGGAAATCTGATGGTGAACATCACTAATTGTACGCCCAGTGTAACCAGCTCCACAGGAGCATTGATGTCTTTGATTATATACATCACCCGTTGACACGTTGACATTGGCTAATTATTATTAACAAACTTTCCACCACCAGACTGATTGATGCATTTCCTTATTGTATTAAGATTGCTTTATGCATATTAGAGTAGAGTCATAGACTAGGATCTAATTGAAAGGTAAACATTCCTTCACTCGACCATTTTGTCTTCTAATTGTCAAAATGGGGTTTCTTGAATTTAAAAGAAAAATCATGAACATGTAACTGAAACTGAAGCTTTCGCTGTAACTTCTCTTCAGCTGTAGAGATCATTGTCAACCAATCATGCATGAGAAACAAATCAATGGTAATGAACTATATTAAGTAATCTAGACTTTCCTATATCTACGGATTTAAGTATCAGGGTTTCTTTTTCAACTTAGCTGAAACATGCCATGCAACCGTCACTATTTTGCAATTAATCAAGCATGTTTATGACCAAGATTTCTGGTATAAAAGACTTGATTTTACATATGATAAGCGCATCAGTATACATCAGTTAATGGAAGCAGAGATAAGATCTAATTCAGGAGGTTCGTGAATGAGACTTCCCTCTGGTAAGCTGTACCATTTACTTGGATACAACTGTAACGGAAAAACTGTTTGATAAATTCATCCTGAAGGATCTAACCACAGTGTTTGTACTTGTCTGGATGTTTCAGTCAACTTTGTAATTATTGACCATTTTTGTCCCCGGCTGTATATCATTGCTCTCACATTTCCAAATCTCACATGTTGACTTGATCCTTATTCTTTGTGTTTGTCCCTGTTTAATCATCACTAATTTTAATGCTTCTCTGTGTGGTTGTGTGATACATTGACAATGTGTTGTTTTGCAAAGTAAATTTTTCTGAGTGAATGTGAAGGTCATTCTGACTTGGACTGTCTGCAGGCATTGTTGGTGTGTGATTCATGTGGACTGAGTTCTTGATCCCCATCCTGTTGTGAAGATTTTTCATGATTGTAAGTAAATGTTTTCTACTTAGAAAATTACCCTGTCTGTAGAGATGTCTAACGGAACTGTTGACAGTCACACATAGATTTAATCAATAATAATAATAGTATACAATGATTCCCTTTTATAAATTTGAACAAAGAAAGAAGAAACATTGGCGCAGAATAATCTGGATCCATTTTATTTCGTTGGTTCTCATCAGCTGCGTACAACCTGAATTTTTTTAATAAAATAAAAATAAAAGATGTACAATTTTAACAAACCTTTGTCCATTAGCAAGCATATTGTCAGAGCGTCATAGTAAAATAAGGCGTTGCGATTTACAGGGTGTCTCAAGTGTTACGACAAATATAATGTATATATATATCTTGTTAGAGAGAAGTTTCTTGAAAAAAATTAACTAACAGATTTGTTGTTGAGGTGGTAACAAAAGACAATTAGTAATAGTCACGTAATTAGATAAGAGAAGATCAAAATTTTGAAATTTCGGTGCACATGAGGTCAGATGAGAAGGTGATGATGTAATACAGTGAGCAGAACTCAGAAGATCAAGAAAAATTATCTCTTAAGAGAGTCAAGCGAAAAATAAAGGAGGGTGGAGTGAAAAGATAAGTTGACAAAACTAACAAAATTAGAAAAAAAAGAGTTACTAAGAAGTGAGTCACCAGGGTAATTGAAGTCCAACAACGGATTCTTTTTGGACACATAAGTCAGGCTTTAACCGTTTTATTGCTATGGCTTCGGCAAACCTGAGGAGACTTGAGGTACTTTGTCTGTTAATTATTTTGAATGATTCCAGCACATCTACTCGGTGTCCTGTGTCAATCAGGTGTTTAGCGATTGAAGAGCTTAAACAAATCGGTCCCTTTAACCGGAGGCTCCTTGGCACAGGGTCGCAGAATCTGACGTAGGCCCTCCTCTCTGTTCTTCCAATGTAACTGCTCCCTCAGATACATGTGAATTGGTGTACACTGTTAGAGATAACATGTGGGGGGTACTTGTCAATCTTTGTCTGAGCCAGTGAACAGGTTGTTCGGGATACAGAGACTAATAACGCTGCAGGATACGTCATAGACAGGGCTGTGCTTAATCTTTCATTTATCATTCTCTTGATGTCGTCGACCTTGTAGTCGAGTTTGATGAAAATAGGCTTCTTACTGACTGTAGCTGTATCAAGCTTCTTGAGTTCATTCTTGCCATATTTGTTCATGAAACCTTGCGGGTAACCATTTTTTCT